CCACACCTGGTTAATTTTTCTATTTTTTATAGAGGCAGGGGTCTCTCTATATTGTCCAGTTTGGTCTCAAACTTTTGGCCTCAGGAGCTCCAGGTGTGAGTCACCATGTCCATCCCTTAATGGTTGATTATTAAAGTCTTTTCTCAGCTGTTTGTGTGGGCTGCTGTATGACTTCCTAGTCCCTGTATCTTTTTCACTACAAATAGTGGATCTGGCTATTACTGTTTGAGAAACCTACAAATACTGATTCATAATGGCCATTATCAATAGAACTTTAAAGCAGACTACAATGTTCAGAGAGGTATGAATTTCAGCTCCCGTTTTCCACTTGTGATACTGAAATAAAGGATGTATAAAGTCCTCTGTGACCTTTTATAAAATGTCTCTACCTTTCATAAAATGTTTGGTTTCATGACTACCAGGAGTCAAAGCTGCAGGGAGTGTTGTTCTACAACAGCCAGTAGAGGGAGCCGGCAGCCTTCTTTCTCTGTGACTGGAGTCTGGCTCCTCTGGGAGTTGGCAGCCATTGCGGTTTGAATATGCTCAGTGCCTGGTGACTCAGGGGACTGCTTGCCAAATATTATTAAGACCTGGACCATTTTGTGCTAGCTAGTGCAGTTTCAGGCAGAAATCACATTTATAAAAGGAATTTTAATCCTTGTGTTTGAATATCCCCAGTAGAATTTTTCTGTACCATTCTCTCAGGCAGAGGAAATTCAAGAATCTCCCTTGAATGGTCCTTAACTGGTCCAAGTCTTTTAGTGCAAACTGGGCCTCCATTAATTTGCTCCATTACTAGAATCCTTGAAGGAAGGGTAGAAATCATATTTGGTTTAACTCCTTATTCAGCAGATTACTGGCGTTACGACTCAACACTAAGTTTCTTTGACACTATGTCCCATGTCATTTTTTCTATGTTACTTCCCCCAAAGCATCTCTGGAGATGTTTAGCAGGCATTTGGCTACAAAGGTCTGGGTGCAGCTCACATAGCATGAAAGCATGGATTTCTTGGTTAAAAACTGTAATAGTGGCTCAGTGCCTATAGCTCAACCGGCTAAGGCGCCAGCCACGTACACCTAAGGTGGCGGGTTCGAATCCCCAGCCCGGACCCACCAAAACAACAATGATGGCTGCAACCAAAAAATAGCCGGGCGTTGTGGCCGGCGCCTGTGGTCCCAGCTACTTGGGAGGCGGAGGCAGGAGACTCGCTTGAGCCCAGGAGTTGGAGGTTGCTGTGAGCGTGATGCCATGGCACTCTACCCAGGGGGACAGCTTGAGGCTCTGTCTCAAAAAAAAAAAAACCTGTAATAGCGATTAAGATTGTGAGGTTTGGATGAGGAACTCAGTAAAAGGGTCAGAAGATGAAAGATGGCACCATGGGAATGCCAGAGGCAAGCAAAGGGAAAAAAAACAGGTAAAAAAGGAATCATTAGGAAGGTAAGAATAGAATTGAGAAGAAGTACATCGTGGAAGCTGTGAGGGTAGACAATGTTAAGGAGGGCACGATCAGCGTTGTCAGATACCACAGAGACAGGGTAGAGTCAGACAGAAACGTCTCCACTATATTTGTCCATGTGGAGGGTACTGGGCCCTTTAGCAAAAACAGTTTGGGTGGTCACTTGGGGCAGGAGCTAAGGTGCAGGGAGTTGAGAGCCAGGGAGAAAAGTAGAGGCAGTGAAACAGGCTTGGTTATGAAGGCGGCAGGGCGTGTTTGTGTCTCCACCACACACCCTAGACTGAAACATGCAGGGTGAGAGGGTGTGCGTTTTACTCTTAGTCCCTTTACCACAGCGGTTCTCAACCTGTGAGTTGCGACCCATAGGAACTGTATTAAATGGCTATGGCATTAGGAAGGTTAAGAACCGGTGCTTTACCAGATATCCCTCTTGACGTGGAGACCCCTTGGGTGCTAACTTCATTTCTGCTGCACTGAGAAAACTACCCAGAAGGAACTCATCACATCTGAAATCCTCTCAGATTGGATTTTTCTTTCCACATGGTTGTGGTCTCAGTGGAGCATGAGCCCCTTCACTGCAACTTTGGGCCACAGTTTCTGAGGGTCTTTCCTTCTTCTATAGTTTCAGCCTCTCCACATGCTTATTTCCCAAGCTGGCAGACGTTCTTCACTCTCTGAACTGACCTCTCCTTGGGCTATAATTGCTTCTTCACTTCTGTGAAGAACCTGTTTCCTCCATGGTCATCCCTGCTTGCACAGGCCACCAGTGAACTCTTCTTTGGCAAATCCAGTGATTTCTACACTATCAACCTACTTTTCCTTCCCATCCTTTCTCCAACCTTTTATGCTTTTTATGTCTTCACCAGTACAGAAAGGCAAGACCTTTGTCCTGAAATGTTTTTTCTCTTCATTGCCTACCAGTCTTCTCTCAGATTTTCTTGTTCTGTCTATGCTCCTTCTCTTTCTCTTCTTTCTCCTTTGCTGTCTTTTCTCCTGGCCCCTTAAATGGAGGTATTTTATCATGTTCTGTCCTGGGTCTTTACTTCCACTGCAGTTGGTCTCTGGGTCACAAGATCCACTCCTGGTTTCACATTAAGTCCTTGCTGATAAATTTAGCTCTGTTTTCTAGATCAAATTAGAACTCAGACTAGACAGTCTTTTTGCCAGACTCTTTGTAATTACAAAGGTACCACAAACTGAAGTTTAATCTTAAATAAATGTATTTTTTCTAAGTGTTCAGGCTAATCTCACCTTTGTTGCTTCACTCCACTTCACCCTCACCCAGGCTAGGCAGTTGTCAGGTCCCGTTGACTTTACCTGAGGGTGGCTGGGAGCATTTCAAGTGTCTAGGCTCTTGCTCCCGCCCCTGCTGCTGTTGCCTACGTTCATAACTTCTTTTTCTCTAACCTGGGAGTGTTATAGTGCTTTCCTCACTTGCCTCTGCCTGCATTTTCTCAGGTCTTCCAGAACTGCTAGCAATACCAGCCAGAGCTTATCCCTCTTTGCCTTGGTTGTTCTTGGGTATCTACAAAGTAATATCCAGCTTGGTAATAGGGCCCCTTACCATCTTGTCCCAGATGGTCTTCCACTTCTCATCCCACACCTCTCTGGCTCTTCACTGAAGGTCCATGAACTTTTGTTCCTCTGGGAGTTTGTGTTGCTCATGCCCTGACTGCCCATTCCTCCCATTCCTTGTTCCTAGAAAATCCTTTGTGGCCCAGAACAAGGGTCATCTCAATGAAGTCTCCCTTTTTGAGTCTAGAGTACATCTTTGAGGGATTATGAAAAGCAGGACTTGACTACAATTGCCTTAGTAATGACTGTTGTTTATGAAGGAATCATTGTGGGACAGACATCACAATGAACTCTTTCCATCCATTATCACCTATACTAGAAGCAGATGGTCAAGAACATGAGCTGTGACTCTGTCATTTTCTAGCTTTTTTACCTTGGACAAGTTGTTTATTTCTTAGTATCAGTTTAGTCTGAGGGTTAAATGTGCTTGCCACATGGAAGGCACATAATAAAGTATAGCTGCTCCCTCTATAATGGTAAGGTTTTCATCTCTCAGAATCCCCTCATGAGATAGTAAGTACTCTTATTATTCCTCTTTTACAGATGATGAAACTGAGGCTTAGGGAGACTGGGTTACTAACTTGTACTGCTTCCCCAAACACATAGCTGTGCGGATGGTGGCTTGTTCATGTTTATTCCGGAATATCCTTTTTTTTTTTTTTTAATTCCAGAATATCTTTAAACTCCATAATTATTTATCTAACAGAGTTGAAAGATGGATTTGGAGCTCAAGAGTCAGACTGAGAAAGAAATTTGGACGTTGTCAATGCACAGGGGTAATGCTTGGAGTCATTCATTCTCTCTTTTTTTAAGTCCTATCATCGTTTTAAACGCCATCTTGGCAGTGAACCGTATTTCTTTGTGAGAAATAATTTTTATATTTAACTGTTATATAAATCTTTTGCTGTGAAAATCTGTACATATTTATCTTCTTTGCCCAACTAATTGTAAGCTTTTTACGTTAGCACTGTAGTGTACTAACTCCTGCCCCTTTAGTCCCCATTTTGTTTATTCTAAGCAATAACCA